AAATGTAAAACATGCATTTAAATATACAATTTTTATAAAAGTTAGCTGAAAATTTTTAATTCATATTTCTTAAGCATTTATAGTCCAATTTATTTTTTTAAAGGAGGGGGTAGTGTTAAGAAAGAGAAGCAGTTATTTGATCTGCAGTTTTTTTCATATAGTTATCTACACCTGGAAATTTCTAAAACAAGTTTATTGAACGATAGCCATGTGATGTGAGTATCAGTCACCTGTGAACGATAGCCATGTGATGTGAGTATCAGTCACCTGGAGGCAGGACTCAAAAGCCTGAATTTTGCCTGAAACTCTCAGACTGAAGAAGTCTCTTGGAAGAGAGACGAAACGTTTCATTAAAGAAAAACCCGTCCAGACGACCTATACAATTTTTTTTCCTTTTTAAAACAAGTTTAGGACTTTTATAAAATGTAACCTCTGTTCAAATTCAAGTAGTATAAATGCTTAACTTTTTTAAGCATTTATAGTACTTATTTAGCTAGTACAGTATTCAAACAGAATTTTCACAGTGTTGAAAAGACCATATACTATTTTAGTATTGTATATAGTATATTTTTGTGTATAATCAGTTTTTGAACCTAAAAATAACACAACCTCCACCACTGTCCAAACCTTCACAAACAATGTTTTTTCCTCACTTTGAACTATATCATATTTTCGACATTCTTGCCTATTTGCACATAAAAATATATACAAGCATGCACACATAGAAGCACAGCGTGTCCTGGCCTTAGCCCCAGTGCTCTGTGTCAGGGTCTCTGGTGTCTTCACCATCACCAGATTACATCAAGCTATTCAATCTGTAAATGACTTCCACCACAGAGCACACCCAACACGCACTTTGGGAAATGAGCTACCTAACTCAAAATGACCCTGCTCAGTTGTGGTTTGTGTGTTTGAGTGTATGAGTGCGTGTGTGTGTATGTATGAGCTTGTGTTTTCTGTAGTATATGTAATACTCATGTGTATGCAGCTGTGTGTGTGTCCTGTATAACCTCATAGATCACTTGTTAAATTAATTTCAGGGCTACATGAGAAATAATTAGTCTTGACATTCGTTCATAATATTCTCATTAACACAGACCGCTTAATCACCAGAACTTGTATCCAAACCACTGTACTCACTGACTGTATGGCAGTTTGCGTGCACAAATGTGTGCCGTTTTAAACTTGTGACTGTTTTTCTATAGGCACATTAACACATCGATAGTTGTATAGAAAGGAGTGATTTAAGTGTTCTGGTTTGTAATTATGTGTATTAAATGGGCTGTCCTGCTATATATGTGTGCACAAGTTACCTTCGTCCTGGCTCTGAAATGCTGACAAACTGAACTGGTTCCAAATCAGATGCAGCACTCACCGACAGAAAGCTTTTGTTTTTGCATGCAGCAATTCCATTACCAGCTGCTTTCATTATTTTAGCATGCTGTTTTTTATGTGTGTGTGTGTGTGTGTGTGTGTGTGTGTGTGTGTGTGTGTGTGTGTGTGTGTGTGTGTGTG